AAGAAAATCTGCAATCCTTTAACTCTTTGGAATCAAGCCTAACTCCAACTAGCAAGACCCTAAAGATTAAAAGCAACAAAATAGAAGATATAAATTCTTGGATCAAAAGAAGAGTGAGGGTAGCTGGGCATCATCAATCAGTCTAAAACACCTTAAAAACTTAACAATACTAGTAGAGAAGGCTTTAAAGAAAAGAGAAGAAACAGAAATAGTGTATGCAATCTTTGCTAAAAAATAGAAAATCTATCTAATCAAAAGCATTATAGAAAACTTAAGCAAACAAAGTGAACTTATCCAAATACTAGAAGAAAATATAATATATAGTAAAATAATATACTATACAGATGACTTACTTGGAGAAGGAGGAATAGAGAACTACATAGCAGGATATGGGATAATTCAACTAAATAATAAAGGTGCAATAGTTAGGAAACTTAAAAGTAGGTTACAAGGGTGGTTTTCTCTAACCAGGTCTGAACTTGTAGCAATTTTTGTAGCAACTCTAATATCTTCAAACAATAGCAAGAAAGATATTTTTACAGATAGCTAAGTAGCAATACAAGCAATTAAAAAGAGCCAAAAAACTAAAAGTACAAGAAGTTGGTGCAAAGCAAAGAACTCTAGCATCCTGGGTACTATTATTAAGCTACTAAATATTAAAAATATATCTATTCAACTTTACAAAGTAAAAGTACATGCAGGCAATATCTTAAATGATCTAGCAGATAAGGTAGTGAAAAAAGTCATACAAAAAAAAGAAGTAATATCTTTTATAGTAAATGAGATACAGAGAATAATACTTAAACTAATCTGAAATATGCAACCAATCAATTTTTCAATACAAAGCTTTATCAAAATATTTACCCAAACATTTTACAAAGCAGACTAGTTATTTGCTTTAAACCAAAAGGACAGCATTCATCAAAGAAGAATTGACAACTAGGATTGGAAAATATTTAGAAACCTGTAGAAAAAGAAAAAAAAAGAAAAAGCAAGATCCTTCAAAGCAAATAAAAAATGAAGTTTTAGACTCAAGAGTCTAAGTGGATTACTGCCTATGCTACAACTACGTAAAAGAAACCATGATGATCTGTATCTAATAGCAATTTGCAGAAAATACAAAAAAAAAAAAGAAAAACTTTGAACACCTAACATTTTGTAAAATAGATAAAAAGCACTAGATAAAAAAGGAGTATTTAATTGCAAAAGAAATATAGGAGAATTTAGATAACTCTGTAAAAAAAAAAATCTTCCAAAACAATATCTACTTGACATTTGCTAGTGGAAGCATTAGGAACCAATACAAGAAAAGATGCTATCTAGCAAGAGAACTAAGACAGACCTATCAGTCTCTCTTATATCAACAGGAATCACCAGAAAAAATGCAGAACTAATAATACTTAAATGATAAAACAAGTGGCATAGCTTCTTTCAAGAAAAAATCTGGCTTTAACAATATGAAAAAACTATAAAATGAGAAAAAGAGTTGCAAATAAACCCCAAAAAGAAAAAAAGAAAAAAGGCTCTAGACAATAAAAAATACCAAAAAGATAGGCATAACCGATCCAGGAGACCTACCAAATGCTAGCAAAGAAAAACTTAAAAAGAAGAAAAAAGAAAAAAACTAATTGGGCATTTTTAAGAAAAAAGTTAATATAGTAATAGAGAAGGTAAACAAATAGATATAAACTGGAAGATAGTTCAGGTAAAACAAAAATTAGATTAGATTATGACAGGCTATAGATTCAGGCTAATGAACTGCAATTTTACTATCTGAGGTAGATAAAGGAAAGGCAGAGAGGTTAATTCTACTTTGGCAAATCATATATAAGTACCAATTAGCAATCAGGTAAGCTATACTTTAGTTTAAAATAGTATAGCTATAAATAGATAACTCATTTATTATAAATATAAATCTTATAATATAAAATAAAGTTGTAACATGATCATTAAAAAAAAAAAAAAAAAAAAATTTAAATTTGATACAAATTTAAATTTTATGACTTCAAGAATAGAATATACAACTGATATTGTAAAGTAGTACTAAAATTTTGAAATGCCACTAGAATTCCAAACTCTTTTAGCCTTCCAGTAGTTCTAGTAAAAATTCTTACTAGAAAATTTTACTACTAGAATATATATAATATGAATAAATATTGGTGTTACACCTAGTTATATAAATTATTTGTTACAAGTCATATAAATTTCTAGTGTCACGTGATACACATGATAAACGTGTTATATAATTTCGTGATTTTGTAGTAACTTACTTTTTGTTAGTTTAAATAATTTCTAATAGAACTTACCACTTGTTTCATCTCTATAGTATTTCTTTCATTTTTAACAGAACTTAATTTAATATCGTTCAACTAAGCCAATTTTACAGCTATTAACAGTCTTTCAACGTTTTTTAGACAATAGAACCTACCTCATTCGTACTATTCTTTTCTAGCATTCTTGAATTTTTTTTTAACTTAACTGTTTCAATGACAATGTCTTTCAAACTCAAATAGCCTAACAAACTCAAATTCAACAGTTAAAGGTAACTCAAAGTATGACGAATCAAGCGATTAATTGTGAAGTTAGTACCTTCTATGCAGTTAATGCTAAAGCCAGTGCCCCTGATGTCTCACATGCGGTTAACACTGAAGCTGATATTCTTTGTGATAATGTGGTTGATAATAAAGCTAGTACTTCTCAAGAGAATACAATTAATGAGGAGACTAACAATACAAGTACTGTATTAGTGAAGTAAAAATGTGAAAGCATAGTTTGTTTTAGACTTGGTTTTAAAGTTTGCTTCAATTATGTAGAAACATCTTCAAGCAAGACACTATATGACTTTTCTTTGCTAAGAGTTGGTTATACATTTCATTCATGAAATAACGTTGATTCTTTTCTCAAAGCCTATAGTCAATATAATAGATTTGCCATTATTAAAAAGAGAGTTAAACAACGTGATAATGGTACTATTAAGCATCGATCTTTTGGCTGCGAATTTGGAGGAAAGTACATACCCAAAAAAAGCATTGATATTAATGTTCACTGCAATCGACAATTAAAGTGGCAAGGATGTGAATAGTATATCAATCTAAATTTCTCTAAACAATCTACTTCCATCACAGTTACAATATTTATTAATACTCACAATTATGAACTTAATCCTGAGAATTGTAAGTATAGTGCTAAGTTCAGGTCTATTGATACGAATGCGCTAAATGATATTGAGTTTTATACAAAAAATGGAAATCTTTTGATTACCATGCAATGCCAATTGTTAAGAGCAAAGTATCCAGATGCAACTTTTCTAGACATGCTATTTAACATTATAAAGTAAAATCTCGAGATCTTGAAGCAGATGCTTCACATCTTCTATCATTCCTTATTAAGAAACGTTCAGAGTTAGGTTGGAGTATTGAATTCGAATTAGATAGTGACAATTGTTTTACCAGAATTTTTTTGGATGACTCCTAAACAATTATCACTTTGGCTCAAGTATTATGATGTTATTATCAACGATAATATAGCCAAGATGAATCAATATCAAATGCCACTTAGTTTGTTCCTTATCGTTGATAATAACACAAGATCTCATTTAGCTGCACAAGCTTTAATATCTGATAAAACAGTTGACTCTTACAAATGGATACTTCAGTGTACAATAAAAGCTACGGGTATTGAACTTATAGTCTTTGTCACAGATGCAGATCCAGTGATAGATAGTGCATTAAAGCAAGTATATGAAAATACCAATTTACTATATTGCATTTATTACATCAGTCAAAATCTACCAAAGAATCTAAAAGCTACATTAGGCAATATATATGATTCATTTATCAAAGAATTTTATTAGTGTCGTAATACTCTGGACAAGATGTTGTTTGAATCTAGATGGCAAAATTTATTAGAAAAATATCCAGCGGCTTTAAGTTATTTAACACGAGTCCTTTATTCTAGTCATTATTCATAGGCTTGTGCCTTTACATCAAAATTTTTCACTGCTAGAGTTTAAACAATATCACGCGTGAAAGAGTATGTTGTGAATTAAAATAATTTTAAGTGTTAGGGTTAGAGCATTGTTTGTTCTTTTTTACTTAAGAATATCAGCTAATATTTAACACGTTTTACGGCTTTGTCTTGTTTATTTTTTTTTTTACCTAAGTATATCACTAATATTTAATGTGTTTTATTACAGATATAATGGCCTTATTAAGAGAGTATTGCACAGCAATGGTAGCTTATACGACTTATTAAAAACCTTGGATTCATGATTAGAAAAAGAGGCCGAATAGAATCGGTTCTTTGAATATTAAACATTGTTGGAATTTTATCTGTTAGTAATGAGATATTCCCTATTGTTGACCAAATACTTTCAGAATATTTGACCTCGCATATCCTTTCTGTTGAGCATATTGAAATGGCTCAATGCTTATACTTTAATGCAGTACTAACTAACATAACAATAATTTAATCTGATGATGGGAATGAATGTATAAAAGATCGATTTATAGAGGATATTTACAATGTGAAGCAAATTTTGCTTAAATCAATTGTTTTGCAAGTTGATCAAGCTAACATCAAGAAAATTTGACAAGAGACCAGGCAACAATCATCGAAAGCATTTTATCATTATAATAGATTCTATTTCCTATTTATATACATATATGTCAAACGTATCTTGCAGTATTGTGTGCCAACATTACTTTTAAGTAATATTAGTTTTACAAATTTCTGGATTTCATATTAGTATGGTGGCATCTCGCTAGTACTATGATAATAAGAAAGAGTCAGTTGATCAAAAGAATGTGATTTTTTCGAATAAGAGTTCTAGTCAAATACAACAAAGTCAAACTATACTATTGATTTCTCAACCACTCACTATTTCTTGTTCTGTAGCAACAAGCAACCGATGTGTGGCAGCCCGACGTTCCAAGTTTTGTGAATTATGGGGCCTTGCACGACAAGCTGCATAGCTCTCAGTTGATTGTGATGATAATGAGATGATTCAATGGTTAAGAACTTTTATTAATCAAAAGAAACATTGTCTAGTACAACCCAATGAATCTGAATCTGAAAATGTCAATAAAGAAAACAATTTGACAGTTGCTAATCCACCAATCACTAAACACAAAGGCAGACCTGAAACTAAAAGATATAAAGCTGCTACAGAAAAACCAAGTAATCAACTACATAAAGAAAAACAAAGCCGTCAACCATATACTTGTCATAGTTGTGGTGAAACTGGTCACAATGTCAAAAAAAAGGTCATGTATAATGTATATACTATTTGTTGGGTAAAAGATAGATTATTAAAAGCTTTAGCGTGATTGTTATTTGATGTATGCTATGATTGACTTATTGAAGTTTGAGTGATTCTATGTTATGTATATTAGAACAAATATATGAGAGTTAGTAGTATGTATAGTAACAAGATGTTTGCATTTAACTTGTATTTTATTTAGGTTTGAATATACGTTAGTTTCTTAGTGTAAGTATAAGTTATAGTAGGCTATTATATACTATTATAGTTTGTATGTCTGTTTTAATTGCAATATTATGTTGCAATACTTAAATCCAATGATTTAACAAATTCTAACTTTTACTCCTGTTTAAACAAGTTTTTTTGTACTAATAGTACTGTATAATAGACAATGCATATTAACAACATGCTATATATAATCGACAGCTTGACCCAGAATTTTAGAAAGAGAAAATCTATTTGAAGCCTGGGGCAAATTTGCCCAGATATTCATTAGGATAGAGTTAGATAGGGTTAGGGGCCGGTTTTTTATTAGGGTAGTGTTAGGGTAGAGTTAGAGTTAGATAGGGTTAGGGTTAGAGTAGTTTTTTATAGTAAAATTTTCTCTTTGGGGGTTCAGGTAAATTTGCCAGGTGTCAAATAGCAAAACTCTTGAAAATATATATAAATAAATAAATAAATTGAAGTTATAACATGTGATGTCATGTGATTGGTAATAGATATATATATAGTAACAAATAATAAATATAACATGCTGTAATAAATAAATTTGTCTATATAATATTATTTAATAAAAATATACAAATAGCAAACTATATTAACTAATAAAAATATATATTATTGTCCAGAGCGTAGTGGAGGACACTCTGTTTTTACGTCTGTTGTTGATCATAAGCGTCACATGATTCTATCTGTTGGCTTTCGCCTCTCTTATTGGTTGTCAATCTTGAGCCTATTTTTAAAGAGTTAAATATAGTTAAATAGAAATCTTTTTTCATTTAATTTTATTTTTTATAAACTTATTTATAATTTTTACTAAAAATTTTAATTAGCTCCGGACACACAATGCTTTGTATTTCCTAATATATTTCTTATAGCTATCTTTCAACTTATTATTAACAATTTATTTTATTAAAAGAAGTAATTTAAATCTAAATATAATAAACTAATAGCTAAGCGCATGTATGGGACATGCACTGTTCTGTTAGGTTTACTACAAGGATAAATACCTTCTGTTGTTGGCTAAAGTCTTAGGGTTTTTAACGGTAAATTACTCTCTATATGAAGGTTAGGAGGAATCATGTGATGTTGGTTGAAGCTAGAGAGTTTAAATAGATAGCTTCCTAGTTAGGCTATAGGTATGACAGCTAGTGTAGAACTCCTAGCATAGCACTAACGCTTCGGGCGGACTACTTAAATAGGCAATCAAAAGTTGTACGTGTGACTAGTTGTACTCTTGTGATACTGATATAATATGTAAAGCCGGTGCTAAAATTAACATTGGCCTACCGCTTGTACTAATAAAGTGCCAAGGGCCTAAGTGGTCACCTTAATATTAAAAAAAAAATAATAATAAACTAATAGCTTGTAAGAATATAATTTCGAAATTTAAGTTTACTTTAAACATTTTAATTATTTTTTTTACTGCTACAAATATATAAAAGTAAAAGCTTTAAATATGGAACTCTGAGTTCAAAAAGTCATTATAACTTTGGTGAAATGGTATTTCAGTAAATTTAATTTTAGAAACCTATAAGGGGCATGCTATTTATTACGTAATTTTTATTATAGATATATGGTCAGAAATAGCAATTATATCTATATATAATATTAACCAATTAAAATTAAATAAAGTGATCACACTATACATAGATAGAGATAGCTACTAAGTAAAAAATATTATATGATAAATAGCATGCCTCTAACTGTTTATAATAGATTTATCTTTCTTCCTATTGTCGCTTTTATTAAGTTAGCTATTTAGATTATACTTACATTCTTTAATTATTCAGAATTTAACTTATTCTAGTTGATATGATAAAAAAAAGATTTAATATTGTTAAAAATTGCTAAAAAACAAAAGTTGTAATATATATATATGTATGTATATATTTGAGTAATTAATATACAGATACAAATCTAATATAGTAATTCTGCTAGCTAAAGCTATTGTTATAGTTTAAAGCTTAAATTTGTGACCTGACTATGATTTGGTGGTACTAAAAGCCCAAATAATTTGAAGCTACAAGAATATTATAAGGCTCTTAGATAGCAGATTAAAGCCTAAAAATACAGATCTATTTAGCAAATTAAAGTTTAGTGATATAGATCAATTCTAGTAATTAATTACTTCTATTAACTGATAAACATTAAAAGAAGCAATAATTGTAGTAAATATTTGGCACAACTATTGTAAGAAGTATTTAGAACAATAATTGTAAACAATATTTGGTGGCTATCTAATATGGGTTGTTAATATTCTGAAGATTGATCGCTAAGAAGATAGGTTTGGGATTAAAAATAGTGTAGTAGCTCTTAGTAAAGTAAAAGATATTTAAGACCTGAGTTTCTATCTTAGTTAAGTTTCTTTAAACTATGTGTTCTAGACAATACCTCCAAAAATCTTTTATCTTAGACTATTCATTTTAGACAATTCATCTTTAGACTATGTGTTAGACTATAATATTTTAGTTGTATTTTATAATAAGAATCAGATTCTTTCTCTTTTGTTGTATTGAGTTTATGTATTAATTAGTAGTTTAGTTATTTTTTTTTTTTTTTGCAAACAAGCAGTCATACCACAACTTTATTACTTAAATATAGATATTACAAACTTTTATATTTGAATTTACTACTACAGCTATGCTGCTTTGTACTAAAGTGTGATTCACCCAGTTTCCAATTGGACCTATGTGTAACATGCCAGAGCAGAAGCAACCTCCTTGCTTATCTAAATTTGCCTCAGATTTAAAGTCCACAATTCACTGGCCAGGATCTACTAGCCTGTTATGACTACCCATCCCTTCTTGAAAACTTTTCCTGCCTAGATCTGGGCAGAATAGTTTATCTCTTACTTTTCTATAAGGGAATACCATATGCCAAATTTACTAGAGAAAAACAAAATTTAGGAAAGAAAAAGACAAAGAAAAAGAAAAAAAAAAAACATATTAAGAACAGTATGTTCTAAATCTGATTTCATTGTAAAGAGACAAAGATGGAAAAAGCACAAAAAGGAACAAGATCTCATGACATATATTTAGAAAAAGAAAACGAAAGGGGTGCACTGTTATAACCTATGCAAGGCTGAAAAAATTTATACTATATGCAACATTTATATATCTCTATTGTAAAGCTTTGCCTTAACTTTGGGTTTTTTTTTCTGACCATTTGATATACTCTGGATAGTTTCGCTCCAGCCTGTTCTAATTCGTATCTCAAGCCAGATGCTGTCACCGTCTGTAGACCCGTATCTCAAACCACTTGTTGCCGCCATTAGGAGTACTTTCTTCCTTATTAGGGGTTTCTTATCCAGGGCCCGATTCTGTATAGAGACACTGTATTCATAAAACATGTGGTTGTAGTCTAATAAACTATCCAAATTTGGAATATAAACAATGCTAATCTTTTGGAGGGGGTAAGCCAAATCCCCACTTTTTTTAAAAAAATTTTGAAAAACCGGCAGGAGAGTGGAAGTGAATAAAAAAGGAGTCACTTGTTCGAATAAAAGAGTGTGGCTTGAGAATAGCAAGTTCTTTACTGTTCCCTAGTTATTTTGCAACAGGTTGCTTCATTGACGGAGAAACACTATAATCCCTACCAAAATTTCATATACAAGGACACACTTCTCCAGCCAGTTATCTTATATAAAGATGCTTTTGGCTTGCATGTCGAATATATAACAAGTAAACAAAAGGTTGATCTTTATAAAAACTGCACTGTTGTTCATCTACTACAGGTCTTTTCTACTTCTCTAGTGTCCAAACTTGACTTTTCTTTTATAGGAAATTTTGGTCCAAGTGATTGTCGGAAAGAGTTCTGTCTATAGTAGCATCAGCAAATTTAATAGGACATAATATTGCGCAATAATTTACAAAGCGTAAGAAAACCGTAATATTACGTAATAACTTTCGCAATATTGTGAAATATATAATTACGAAATATTACGTAAGATAATTACGCAATATTACGCAAGAA